ATATATATGTATCTGTATAAGTCTTTGATTATTATTTTTTTTCCAATCCTAGCGTTTCAAGCTAAGATGGTTATTGTTAGCTTCATATGGGAGGATTTCCCTGGGAGAAAATAATTCTTTTCGATGTATCTCTAGGCTTCAGGAGAAGGAGTATCATGTCTTTGTAACTGTAGGCACTTGCTGTTGATATTTATCTGTGTGGGTATCAAAGACGTGTACTTAAATATTGGAACAGCTGGAGTACAGGTGTGGGATGTAAGAGCAGTGATCACTATTTTGAATCAACTGAAGAATGTTGGTCTGCTCAGTAAACATCACTGCATTGAGTTGGTACCAGTTATAGATATGTGGTAGGCAGTCGTCTTTGAGTATAGGCACTTGTAAAATAAAACTAGTTCTGAAGTGGTGCTTTTGATGAAAGCTGTTCCTGCTGTTCATTTTCGATCCATCTTTAACAAGAGTAACAGTCATTGTACATCTAATGTAATGCTGGTTTCTGTGTTCTTGGGAGTCTTTGAACTACACTCTGGGAGCAAGAAAAAAAGAAAGGAACATCCTCACTGTTTTTAACACTTTTATTTATTTTCCAAGATTTTTATATATAGTATTCTGATTTATCAATTCAAATTATCAATTTGTCTTGGTCCAAATTTCTTAGTTACACAAGCTAATGAAATATTTTGCTTTTTATTTCTTGTTGCGGTTTTATCAGACATTCAAGGGATCTATTTATAGTTCATCTCTATCTTAACAGTACTTTATTTGATTAAATTATCACCACTTATCTCAAAAGGTCATTGAATAGGTCTGAGATTCTTTAAAAGAAGTATCCTCCCTCAACAAAAAAATCTAGTCAAAATATATTTTGTTGTTTTATGACATGTGAAACTCAGTTGCTTGCAAAAAACACAAAAGGGCTGAAGTCAGAGAAATTATTACTTTTTCACTAGTTTTCTTATAGTATTTGTTAATTCAGAAAAGAGCAGTAGTTTCACAAAGGTAGGTTTCACAATGGCAAGTTTTAGGTTTGTTTTCAGCCTAGTTTATATTACAAAGCTTTAGAAAGAGAGAAAGAGATTAGCAGTTAAATATACCATGACCAACAGAATTTAACCTTTTGGTGGTGAGAATTGGGAGGAAGCTGTGGTAACGATTATTGTGTTTGAATTGGTTCTACACGTGGGAAATTTTGGTTTAAATCTATAATTTCATAAGTGAGAGTTCCTACATTTGTTTATCATAGAATCATAGAATAGTTTGGGTTGGAAGGGACCTTTAAATGTCATCTAGTCCAATCTCCTGTGCAATGAACAGGGACATCTTCAAGTAGATCAGGCTGCTCAGAGCCCCGTCCAACCTGATCTGGAATGTTTCCAGGGATAGGGCATCTGCCACCTCTCTGGGCAACCTGTGCCAGTGCTTCACCACCCTCATTGTAAAAAATTTCTTCCTTATATATAATCTCGGTTGTGGTAATCTCTCTAGTCTGTCTATTGACTCAGTTGTGGTAGTCAACGTAAAGTTAAGATGCATCAGTATATCAATGTCTCTCAAACAAAAAAAGCTAAATCACAAACCACAACCAACGCC